CAGGGGGGGAGGATTCGGGAGGTCAGCCATATAGATGTTGAATAGCGATGGCGAGTCAAGACAAAGTCGAGGGCGCAGATGGCTGGTGCGGCCGTGGCCCTTACGACTACAGATACAGCTGCGTGGGAACACTCCACCGCCGCGTGGAAACGAAGTACACCGAGTCGGACGACAAGAAGTCCAAAATTCACTTTTTGGGGAAACTCTTACAGATAGCGGAGACGTTGGAAGTTTCGTCGAAAAATGGCGACGAGAAGTCAGGCAAAAAACAACAACTCAGGAGCAGGTTCACGCAATGTCTTCTATTGCTGACTTGTCTGAGTTCTTTAGACAGATGAGCGAATTTTGGATTGGTACCGCTCAGAAACCCGAAGCTACAATTTGCCGGCAACTCATTCATCTTAGGGACCTCATTCTGGTCAATGAGAAGTCTGGTGCTATTTACCAGATAAAATGCGATTGTGGTCAAGCCAAATACGTTGGTGAAACCGGCAAACAGATTCGCGCGAGACTGCGCGAACAAGAGCTGGCTGTGAGAGGGGAAACGATGAACTCTTAGTCGTCACACTCACGCGTCCTCGCCAGGGCACAGCTTCGACTTTGAATGCGTGAAACTCATGGGCCAGTCGGACGACCGGATTTCGCGTCCACTACTGGGAGCGGGATACTCGACCGTGGATCCAATCAGCAGGCCTATTGATTTGCCAGCTACTTATCAAGCACTGCGTGATCAACTCAGCTGCTCAGCTAAAGGTCATTCTCGACGGAGGCGAGCTATATATGTATTTGGTTGTACAATTCCCTTACTCCTTGGCGATGAGTTCGTGTGCGAAAGTTTGAGACGCCGGATGAATAAATTACTGGTGGCAGAAATCGCCCTTAAAAGTGCAAGAAGACAATCATTGTCATTATGGTAGGGGCTATTCGTGCGCAGGTAAACACGCAAGTCTTTTATTAGAAAGATCCGGGTCGAAAAAGTGCGTTCGCTGTATAGGTGTGAGTGCAGAAGTTGTTGTTGCCAAAGTGATAGTATACTCGCGCCACATCTACGACAACCCCTTCCTTCACTCGTGTCCGGGGTGTCAAGAAGACCGGGGGCGGGATTGGGCGTACGGCGGCCGATGTGGCGTGAGCCTGCATCCCCCCCCCCTCCTGT